CGACAAAATCTTCAACTTCAACCTAACTCTCTGTTTGTTGCTACCGATGCGGCGGTTGGTGGCCATATTTAGCCAGGGACATGCTGATACAATCGTCCCCGGAACAGGAAGTTCAGATTCCGAAACTGGCAATGTGGTCTCAAGCGGAGTCACATGCGAATCTCATGACCGTTAGGGATCACATCGCCGTTTCGGGAATGGATGTCGCGCTTCCAATGCCGGATGACCTTGCCCCTTTTGATGGATTGCAGCACACCATCGCGATACTGCCTCATTTCGTCTCCGAGCTCGAAGATTTAGTGGCTGCCACATTAGCTAAACGCGCTGTGATTAGTGTGGATTGCTAATTTCATAATCTCGCGAGAATTGTGTCTTTAATTCACTCCTAAGCAAATCGCATTCTGGCAAGCGCTTCATTGCACGCTTGTTTTAGTTGTTTAGCCATTCATTTCCTGAATATAATTATTGGATGACATCCAGTGTCTTTTGCACTACAAACTCAAATATAACAATTTTCAATGCCGCAACTTCTAAACACATACCTAATCATGGGAAAACGCGGTATATAACCTGCTTAATCTGATTGTATTGGTGGTGTTTGTCTCATGTTTGAGCATTAAGAAAGAGTTAAGGAGAGAATATAACAGAGAATTTAAAATTCAATTTTTATTCCTTCTATCCATTATCTCTCTTACTGAGTTCCATGATTTTAACAACAAGGAAGACATTACTACGTCGGCGATGTTCTTTGCTTGGTTATTGTGCTACAAACGCACTGCTTTGGCAGAAACATCTAGATCATATTTCCAATGGCCAAGTGGTGTGATTCAATGTAGTTTTAAGTATTTCAACCATGGTGATCAGGCAAGTGCTTGTTCAGTTTCAAGTGTTCAGACAAAACATTTGCATCGACTGGGTGGTCCTTGTTTGAATCTACTGTGCAACAAGTCGGCAATTACCTGCAAATGAACATCAAAAGTAGACACAATTTGACGATAACAATGGAAAGCTGGGAAACCAAGTTCTGTGCTAGTGTCCGCCCTAGTTCCAAGTACCAGCACATTTTCTGTGCACTGTAATTGGTTTGTACCAAATGGACGGTTTGGCGGCAGTACCGTAGTTTCATTGAAGTGTATTACGTCATTCCTATAATCGTCCAAATTGAAATGGGTATCAAGCCAACTCAGACATGCAAGCTTTAATCTGTTTGAAGTTGCCGATGATTTTACCTGAAACATTTTGCAAACCCCATCATATTCCTAGACTGTAGTAAAAAAGTGAGCTGATTTACTGACGTGGTTATGACGTAAGTGCTCAAATGCGATCCGATAAACTTTCTTCAGCTTTACTTTTAAGCAGTCCAACGACAGTTTGATTTCCTGTCATTTTTCAAATAACCACAAAATAATACGAATTGTCAACCTCAACGGCGGAATTATTGTTAGGAGTGAACCATCTGTAAAACTAGTCACTTTCATTCGAAAAAGGGGAAATATTTTATTATGGAATGCTTACACATTCTTTCTTGAAGCAGCCATCACAAGAGATCGCTTTAACTGTATTACCAAGCTACATGATTTGCTAAGTTTAAGACTTGACTTTGTAAAAATGATTGACGTCGATTTAATACGTGATGAGTTGCTGCTTTTTCCTTATCATCGAACAGTGAATTTCTAAAATTTCACTCTATATGGTAGGGGCATGCAATTGTTACGGTAGTGCGCACGTAAACACGACGTATCCGGTCGTGATCTGCTTTCTAAGTTTGGAAACACAATCATATTATGTTTTGATGGCCAGAGCTAAGTTATTATAATGCACTTTAACGGTTCCACCCTAGCTCAGGCATGCGAAATATATTTAGGAGCATTACACTTTAGCGAATAAAAATCATAGATTCCAGTAGTACAAACATTTTGTCCCAACTCACGACACATACACATACATTTACTTCTCTGACATTTGTAAAAACAATCCCTTTTAGACTAACTGTTACTTTCCGACGGCTGTCAGGCGCTATTTAAATATTAGCACTCTGGCGACTACCAACTTAAACGCACTGGAATGACACCTTGAATGTTATTCGGACGCGTAACGATCATAATAGCTTATTACTGCATAAAAACGCATACCGCGGAGTAAACATCATCTTATTGAATTAGTCTGTGGATGAAATGTCGAATTTTCTTGTTTTTATTGCCCGTATCGGATAACGTTGTTATCTGCTGCAGACGAAATTTTCCTTTGGTTTTGGTTTCAAAGTAGCATAACTCAGAGCAGCTACGTGGTCTCGTTGTTTTATTCGATGACACTTTATTTGTACTTTGGACCTAGGATCCTTGCAAAAATACTGGGCAACAAAAACATCTGCTCTGTGAGCATCAGTTCAATAAAATAACACCAGTGTTGTTTGAGCAAACATTTTATAACCTAAAGCTACAAAAGCAAATTTTCAGATATTTCCTCAAGCGATTTTTCTCTTAACTTTTTGCTACAAATAAACTGATTTTGATTCAACAGCTAAATCGCTAAACAATAAAGTCGTAATCACTCTAGTGACTTATGGACGCCTGCGTTCGCACATATTCATTGAAATAAATGAAAAATTCATCTCTTCTATACCATCGGTATTGGCTGACAACAATATGCATGACAAATTTTGCAATGAATTAGGCCCATCAGATCTACTTTCACACTTTTTGGTTAAAGGCCTTAGATCATTTTTCTAATTAAAGGTAAACTGCTGTGGTGCACGGATTTATATCTTAAAATGATACTAATTGGATACTGAAGAACTGATCCATATCATTATGTTGTCAGTGGCGGTTATTTCATGTCAACTCATAATTAGTTGAGCGTGTTTTATCAGGAATACCAAGAGTATAGAACATATTTCTAGCATAAACCTACCGTTTATCTAGTCCCTTCGTAATTAGAAAAGCAGTGCATCCATTTGGATTGCGAAAAAATTCACTGACTGCATACTTGGTTTGTGTCTAGCTGTTCGTGCACTAAGGCAAAAAATGTCCCCTTAGCACCAGAATTTACACTGAGCCACTACATCGATGGACATGGAAAAACTGCCAATCGCTAAAAATTGTCGAAGAAAATACTTCGGTCAATGTGAACATGACAGTTATCTGGGCTCTGGACTAAATAATTATTTTTTTGGATTTTCTAATTGTAGGACATTATTTTTGCATTCAGTAGAGAAACTCCTGTGTGGTTTTGAAAAGTACCTCCCAATACCTGCGCGTCGAAGATCGAATGACAGCGATGGCGTTTTACTAATGATAATGCAATGGTATGGCAAATTTCATTGAACCTTCGAGATGCTGACAAGCAAATTCCTAAGTTCATCACCATCTATGATTCTGTCAAATCTGTCACTGGGTCACGCGTTGTTGACATGCGGAGCGGTGCCACTTGCGGCCAATGGATCAAACTATCGTTAACCGTGACAGCCTAATCAATAGGTTGTTTTCTTCAACGTGTGTTGCAGCCAACACACGCGGGTGAAGTTAGTGTGACTTCGAAAGGAGGAGAAATCATTCAGCGCTGCTGAATGCATGTAGTTAGTTTGAGTGGCATAAGCTGTGGCTTAGTTCGCGCAAGCCACTAGCAGTCATGGGTTCCATAAGCTGAAGGGGACCGAAGTATGCGCACCACTAACTGGGTTCACTAGGGTGAAACAACCTCCTGGTGCTTACATGATCGGTGGTCGCGGTATCGGAATTGTTGGTTCATTGCAACAATCTGAAATATTCGTTCTGTTAACCAGCTCACAAATGGGGTCCTCTGCAAAACAATAGCTTGATTAGATTGCATTTGATAGCTCTCTATCGTAATACCGTTCTGCGTCATTCACTGCAGTCACTACGCGGTAACAGATTTGATCCATCCAATTATTTCAAATAACCTTGTGTCTAAAACCAAGGCTTACTTTTTCGTATCCTTTCCGTTAAAATGGAGACCTACTCGATAATCAGCTGGCAAGCCTACAGTGCTAGAAATATTGCTTTCTGTGTGCCTTCTTATGGTTGTGCCTTCACTACTGAATGGGTCCGAGAGCACTGGCGGAAGTAACAACTACTTTGAGAATATTGATTACAAGGTACTGCTGCAAGTCTGAGCTGACACACTGACATATTATACGAAAACTTAACAGCCAGCTAATTGCTGCATAAGCTAACGTGTCCAGGTTTAAATGGTGCCGTCAGTGAGCATTATTAAGGCTAAAACGAAGGTTGGAGCATTCGTCATTTACATGGATAGTAAAACTGCTTATTTGCTAGCGCTATTGCGCCAACACAGCCTTCGTATGCCGGTGATAAATGCACGATGTGTTAATGACTACATGTTCTTTAACACAGGTGCTTGTACTCATTTCTGATAGAAAACATTGTCAAATATTCATCCTGATACTGTGCCCCATAATCTGCAAAAATCTGAGTCCTTTCTTGCGTCACGCATCACGCTTTGCTTGTCTGCTAGTTAGTGGTTCCGCATTGATTTGTCTGCTAAGAGCGCACTGTTTTTTTCCAAAATTCCACATTCGGTGTCATGGTAAAATAATAGAAGGTAAGCAAAATACTTATCCTTATTCTTACGTGTCATGTACTTCGCCTAAGATATTTAGTTCAAACATGGCTATTCCGCTTTCCGTTTTCACGTGTGCAATCTAGTCTACGAAGGGTTGTATTTATTTTTGTTTTAATGGTTGCCATGCTAATAATAGCATTAGACAGGTGTAACTATTTTTCTTCCTATTCTGACCGCGTTTTTGTGCTATATGCTACTTCAACTTAAAATCTACCAATTTAAAGATGTGTGCAACTTCAACCAGACCCGCAGTGATCCAATGCTATGGTCATAGTGGCTTATATGAAATGAACCCGAAAATCATTGCTTAAACGGTTGTTCATTTACATCCAACTTTGCTTAATATGGCAAATCGTGACTATATAATTTTATTATTGTAACCGTTTATCAAATTTTAGATTCCACGTGGCTAAGTGATTCGAAATTATTCGACTCCAGAGCTCCATGCAATAGACATGCTGCGGAACCACAACATTGGCTACCAGAAGCCGTCAGTTCCAGTCAAGAAACACCTGCTTTTAATGAAGGCAGAATAAACCGAAGCAACTCAGTAAATGGTGAATTTCATTTCAGCCTTTGTGCTCCTCATCATCACGAAAACATCACATCGATGTTGACATGCTGCACTATGGAAATGGAAAGAAATCTGTTGCATCGGACACAGAGAGAAATACAAGAAGGGTTATCCGGCTTCCTATCACGCTGGTCCACCGATGTTTCCAAACTTCGAGCAAGGTTACGAGGTGAATGATTTGTTTTGCTGGCTTTGACCTCAACGTTGTCAAACGGACTTACTCATGCCACTGAATGTTATATGTGCACTTGGTGTCTGAAGCCCTGCTTCATCCACAATCGCAGTTCGTGTACTTGTACTAATGGTAGAGCGTACGCATAGCCATTGTTTACCTGAAGTATTTTATGCAGATTGACGTGTGGAAGTTTGTTGAGACAAAGATACGGAAGAACTAGCCTTCGGTATAATGCGGTTAACGTGTTATCACGCACCATAAAAACACTACGTCTACTGGTTTGCTTCTGCGGTCTAAACATAATTTTAGCACATTACTAAACAATGTGCATTACATCAGCAAGTCAACCGTTAGACCTGGATTTCGGCGAACACGCAAAAATGGCAACTGGCTTATCTTTTAACCCAGTACCATCACGCTCGGTTATGGGTAGCCATATGGAATGTTGAACATAGCCTCCCGTGACGGGACCATACCAGATGGAAATTGCTTGTTGCCAATCCTAAAACACCATACTAGTTACAGTGATGGAAGCATCGCTGGTTAAAAGCATATCCAAAGTCTTCTCCTTATCTGAAAGAAAGGATTTTAGTGAAGTACTTAGGCATCCTCTTTTAGTGAGGCTATGGTACAAGAACCAAATATGCAGCTAAAGTGACAAACATCAATTTGGTGTTTTAAAATGTTAAAATATTTTGCAAAAGATATTGAGAAACTTGTACTTCCTTCAAATACATTCACTAAAATTTACACATTGCGATCACGAAAAAGGCTATTGACGTGGACACAATCATCCTTTTTATCGCTCTAGTCTTTGTGAATTTCAACAAGTCTTCTTGATTTTCTCTGTTAGTGCAGTTCGATTTGTGCCAGTTAGTTCTGCCTACCACGAGGACGGGTTACGGTGCTGTGGAACAGGCGATTTAGCTACACATTACTAACATTTTAACCTAATAACTTGAAGGCGAAAAAGTGTTGTTTTTATGATGCGGTTGTACGGTAAGATTTGCTAGATTGTTCGATTCCCATTAATTAAACTGAGAGTACTATTTGGACTTGCGGGCATAATAACAGGTACGATGTTGTCACTAACTCGTCACAGTAGATGACGTATTCAGTAATGGGACACTTCCACCTTTTTAACTGCTTCCTGAACTCATCACCAGACAACAAGGCAGATGCAATTGGCATTTAACCCTATGTTAAGTATAATACACTGATTTTTCTAACGCCTTGCCCATTCCTGAAAACAGTGTAGTTATGTAAAAAGTAGCAAGATATTTGCTCTCTCTATTGCTCCTTATACTCTTCGTAGTTTTGGCTTTAAGTGAATTTTATCATTTTCTACTTCCCGCTGTTTCGCGACCACGTATCTTCCGTCCTACCTTCTCTTGGCACCTTGACACCTGCCTTGTCGACTATATTTGGCATGTCGATCAATGTGGGACCGAGTATAATTAACAGTTTAAGCTTGTTGTCTAATTCGTTGCTGATACGCTCAGTGTTATCTTTGATAACTTAAATTCGATGTCAGAAGTCTACAGTATTAATCGGCGGACGAATAAAAGACCGGCGGCCCCTGTGCACGCTAATACAGGTAGGTGTTAAATTACCAAGATCATAGGCACACAGCGAATCATCAGCTTGTATGGTACTCTTACTTATTCTCTTAGGATACCGAATTTTAGTATAACGAAAGGCAATAGAGTATTTTATAGAACATTTTGTATACAAATCTGATGTGTATCCATATTTGTTCAAACTGCCTTGTCTCTGCTCTTCTGCTTGTCATTACAGTTTCAGCTAAATAACCAAGTAATATGCAATGATTGACCCAGCTAAGTATGCAATTAGATGTGAATCGTACGGGAGCTGATTCTATCAGTACTCTGATTATTGATAGATGAATATAGCCACACGTAATCCTAAGAAATGTTTATAAAATTTCTCGAGCCCTCATATTCGCTTGTAAGAGGACAGGAGCCAGTATAGGAAAATTTGCAAAGCGCAAATTATTTTCTTAACTGAAGCGTATTAGCTTGCACATATGTACACGATAACTCCACATAGTTTTTCAGAATCAGTTGATTAGGTTACAATATGCATCATAAGAATCTTTAGCTATGAACCGTCAGCATACTAAAAATGCTGTGATATACAACCGTAGAAATGTAGGTAACGTTCAATTTCATCAACATAGTTCTTTGTTACGCTATGCAGCTAACTGAAGTAATATATTTATTTCACGTTTCTAGGATAAAATCTCATCAGTAATTTCATGCTTGCACATCTCTGATGTAGTTGCTTCTTTCGTAATAAATATTCTATCATCTTGTGCAACAAAAGATGTTAACCCAGGAGTTTTGTATTACATTGTGAGTTAAAATGTCTTGGCACGTTTGCCGATTTGACCATTGAGAAAAATCTGAAATTTAAAGATTTTCTAGTTTCAGCATTGCTGCTAGGTTCTGTTAGTTAAACTTTTCTCTTCATATTTACTTTAGGCATTCTTTACAACTTTTGAGACTAATTGTAAGAAGTTTTATCATTTAGGTTTGGTCAGTAGGTACTGCACTCAAGCGTGGGACACATGGTCTTTCACCAACAGAACGGTCAATAAATGTCCACCAAAATGACGGCAATGTAGTGCTTTAGTTTTTATTTAAGAAGCCATAAATAGAGCTGTACCGGTATGCTGCTACAATGGGTAGAGGGCAAATGGATAAAAGATATGTAGAGTTCGTAGATCTGTTAATAGTCTAATATATTTATGAGCAGCTGTAACAGTCTCTCTCATCAAGAAGTGTACAAAAACGTTACAGTAATACAAGCTCCATGCTAAGCAATACTGACGAATTTGGTATAAAAACATGTAAAACAGGACATACAGCAATCTTAACGGATTCAATTAAATTCCCATTACATTAGTGAATCTATCTTGTCACGCGCACTTGTTAAGCCGACGTTACCGACACTGTATTAAATGTATTTGAAGTAGCTATCTTTTAATTTTGCGTCTTATTTTCAAAACAGATGAATACCTTACAACCTTTGAGTTATTCAGAAAAGAGCTCAACCGAACATTATGCTCTAATGTGGATGCTACTCATACTGCCCCAAACTGCTCCCAATTTTCCGCTGAGCTATTCCACAAGTTTCGCTCTCTGGGTGAGCAATTAATGCTGGGCACAGAAGATATGTCAAGAGAAATATCGACCCCGATTGATAATTTGATAATGCACTTACTGATTGACATGTCTTGTCAATCTAAATCTCAATCGGGAACTAGTACTCTGGAGGAATACAATGAAGAGATACGGTGAGTATTCATTCAACATGCGCCCATAAAACACCTTCCAGACTTCTACTGTCTGACCGAGAAAGACATGTAGGTTAGATATCTGGAAACTTTGTCAATCTGAAGAGATGGCATGTTGCTTACTGAGAGATGCTATTGCTTAACTGTTTATAGTATGTTGGAGTATGTATTATAAAATGACTTGGCCATGATCGTTTGAATGAGATGAGATTTTATGCGCTTTCTAATTTCATTTATTCCTTAGGCAGTTAAAGTATTTTGAGTACGCCCCTTAAACACTTACCTGTATACATCCTACATTAATAAAAGACTTTAAGCAATAAGCTAGTAAGGGTCTGCAGATGAATTTTTCCATATTTTTGAAAACATTTTTACTAAAATTGGAAGGTTTGATCGACTTCAGTGTTGAATGTGCCAGGATTAGCATCTATGTAACTGACAATCCATACATGTACCTTACAGTTATTAGCCACAGTTTCCTCGTACATTTGTTTGTTTACCTTTGTTGTGTCCAACGAGGTGAAAGTCTGAGTGCTGAACACCATTGGAAAGAACTAAGAACGAAATTAAGGAGGACTGTTGGACATTTAACTTCTGTGCTCATCTGTAACTACTGTAAGTCAACAGTTAGCCAAACCAAGCGAGGCTGGTAATATACTTCGTCCTGAGGTGTCAACCTCGTCTGACCAGAGAGGTTATAACCTCGTGATTTTCCACGCACTGGAGTCCAGTGATCCATCACCCCAAGTGCGCTACGCTCACATGTCGACCTTTTACACAGTCTAATTGACAGACTCCTCGACGCTGGTGAGGACTCAGTAAATGTGCAGCAAATTCAGCCTAAGTAGGCTGAAAGGTTTGTAGATCCCTATTCGTCAGGACTTGGACGCAGTAGACAGGGAGCGGCTCGAGTCTGCCATCATTGAGCTGAAAAGAAGTACTGGGGAAGCTGAAACAAATTTTCGTATCGTAAATTTTCTGGTGGTTTCCAAGATCCTGCGAATCAGGATAAATAGGCTGCTCGCACTTCATGCACGCCCGGCAGCTACTGCTGCGGCCTGCGAGTAGCCTTCACAAACGTTTGCAACGTTCTGAACAAGTGTGATGAGGTTATTTATTTCTGCGTCTGAGCAGGTAGATGTAGTGGGACACGGGGAGACTTGGCTGCATTAAGAGTTATACACCCAGGAACTTGAACTCAAACGTTACTCGTGCTACCGCTGCTATAGATTAACGAATGCCCGTGGTAGTGTCTTGTTTCACATCCGGTCTTCTCCGCGTGGGAGACTTGTGAGCACCTACCAGGTGACGATGGTTTATGTGAGCTACTGTGGTGCGTTATCCGCCTCAGGTGCGGAGGACTACTTGTGGGCGCAGTCCATCGCAGCCCCCTGAGTCCTTGTTTGGATTGGATGCCCCATCTCCGAACACACATGAGTCGTCCACACTTTCTACTTACGGACAACTGAACTGTCCTCGAATACGATGGCCTGATGCGCATTTGATGTCTGGACATAGTGAGGTTGAAGCAAAGTTGGTGGATTTGGTAATTGAAACTGGTGTATCGCAACACATATGCCAGCCAACACGTATAATACCAAGCTAAACCCCGTCAACTCTCGACGTTATGTTAACCAGCTACGAACAACGAGTGCTTGAAGTTCGGATCCTGAAGCCCCTGGATACAAACGACCACTCAGTGCGCATAGCTGATGCAGAATTATCTTTGCCGTATTCACGTCGCTGGGAAGAGCTTACTGTTACCGGAAAACGGAATTCGACGGTCTAGCTCGGGTCACGAGCCAACTGGATTGGTCGCTGTCACAAGCTCCATCTGTGGAACATGGTTGGATATTTCTTAAAAGAAGATTGACATCACTGTGTTCCCAATTTGTACCCTTAAATGTCGGAAGGTTGGACCGATTAAGCCTTATTGGTTTGATAAATAGTATGGAAATCTGGCTCGGAGGCGTCGCAGACTGTGGGACAGATCCCTCCTCACTTGCTCTGACAATGACTGCGAAGGATATAAAAGACAGCAGAAGCTCTGCGACAGTGCAAAAAGGAATAAGAGTTGACATTTCAAAGAGCAGCTCGAAATAGCCGCGAAGACCGCGCCAAAAAGAATCTTTGCTTACGTGAAGCGAAGCCTAAAGTCGGCAGGTGATGTGCCGATGCTGGATGGCTCGGATGGACAGTCCCTAACCTCCTGCGCTGAGTGTACGTCCGCATTGGCGGCGCACTTCACTTTTGTGTTTGCAAACGACCAGATGTCTATTCCGAGTTTCCCGTGTACCGCCTTTACCAAAGTCGACAGTCTGGCTTCCGGCGTTGAAGAAGTATGTCAACTACTCACCAGCCTTGATGGCACCAAACCTGCCGTACGTGATGGGTTTCAACCACTTATACTCAAGCCACTTTCTGCCATCATCTCTCCTGTCGTGACTGACCCTTTCATGAGGTCGCTGTCCGAAGGTTCGCGGCCGATTGACTGGAAATCTTCGGTGGTGAAGCCTATTCCGAAAGGCGGCGGCTCTAGAAAAATAGAAAAACACAGGTCAATTTTTCCGACAACAATTTTGGCAAAAGTTGCCGAGAAAATAGTAAAATGGGATTATTGAAGCTGCCACAGTCAAAAGAGGTTCTGGCGGCCGCACAGCATGGTTTTATATTAGGTCGCTCATGCATTGCTAACTTGCTTGTGACTAGGCTTGAGTGGTCGAAGACAATACGCAAGGGATAGTCTATCCACGTGATATTAATCAATTTTAGTACAGCGTTCGACAAGGTCAGCCATGAGGTTCACCTTCACAAACTCAGAATGTGCGGTGTCGGTGGCTCACTGTATCGGTGGCTCCGCGACTTTCTTGTTGGACGAAAGTGGAGGGTACAGGTCGACGACCATCAAACTGGCTGCTATCCCTCTACAAGTGGCGTGCCTCAAGACACCGTGGTTGGGTCCACTCTGTTCCTGATTCACCTCAACTATCTACCCCAGCTTCTCCGGTCACCATGTGACTTGTTTGTGGACGACGACTGTGGCGTACTGCAGCAAAACCCCAGTCGCCTATCCACATGGCCTGCAGAAGTTCATCTCCCGGTCAACCCAACCAAGTCTGTATTTATGAGCATGAGGAAGGGTGCTAACGGCTGAACCTACACCCTTAACGGCCAAACGCTATATCCCACACCCTCCGTGAAAGACCTAGGTGTGCTCTCAAGCTGCGATTGGAAGTCCGCTGAAAACACGAACCGGCTATATCGTAACCGACTGCGCATTCTTTGGGCGCTCAAACGTAGCTTCGGCACATGGTCCGAAGAGGTTGCCACTCCCCTTTCTTCCATCGTTAGACCAATGCTAGAGTACGGTTCACCAGCCTACTCTCCGATTCCCCGCGGCGAACGAGTCCAACAGGTTGCTACAGGCTGATCCCGAGTTTACGTGTCTTGGGATACGAAAACCGGTGCGAGAAAGTAGGACTCTACACCTTCTCCTACCGTCGGGTGCAAGTCGACCTCATTATGACCCACCGTATTCTACATCTTGGTGACTTCCACATAACGGGGCCAGTGCTGCAATTACGAGGGCCATGCAGCACACGCGGAAACAGATACAAACTTGTCATGGCGGATGTGAAATGTGTTCCCCACCCACTACGCTTCGAACAGAGAGTGGCATATATTTGGAAAAGTTTGCCCTAACATGTGATGGAGGCAACACTTGTGCAGCAGTTCAAAATGTTGTTATGTTTATATTTTACCACTATTCTATTCGGAGAACGCTTGCACACTTACGATGACATGTCCCGTTTGTGCATCCCGCAATACCGGGAGTCAGCTATTTAAAAGGTTACATGAGAACGATAATGATATTCATGGCTGACAATTTTATAGCATTTTGCGCATATTTCAAAAGAATTGTAAGAATTCATTGCTACTTGTTCTGTAATACAGTATTCAGTATTTACTACTCAGTACTTACAATTAATATGTACAAGCTGGTCTCTTCCTCATTGTTTCAAAACAGTATCCGCAGTTACATGAATGATGCACAGCCGCCTCAGTGATACATTTATTCATGAAATATGAAAATGGTTGCTTTAGATCTAAGTGCTTCAGTGCAGACATCACAGAACTATTAGAAACCAAGCGATATAATCGCAGTACAAAATTTGCATCAACGAACACACGTTGGGCGTTGACACATATGCTGTTGTAGTTGCAGCAACAATATGTCGTGTAAATGTCCGTGTGTTTTCTTTATACTGATAAATATGGACGTACATATATGTTCCTCATTGCTGATGCATATTATTTGGTTCTTGACAACTTTCGTATTCGGTGGCTAGGCAACAATGCCCTCTTTACAAGCGCAAAGCATGAAGTACAGTTCTTTGCGCTGTGCTATTAGCAAATGAGGAATACTCCTAAATGCTTTTTGTTTTTGTGCAACAATATAACTAAATCAGACGCAAGATGTTTCGCGTTTCCAGCCTCATTGTCGATTATCTTCATATGCTATTTCCAGAATAAAGATAATGCGACTGCTTTACCCATTTTTAGGTTTTCCAAACGTTTCTAACTTCCGATGCTTAGTTAGTTAGATATGTGTATGTTGCATTAACTTTTTGCAAATGAGTTAAGTTTCCACCTGCCTCACCTTCAATCCTTTTAGAACAGGGTTTTCATTAACTCTTAAATCCCAGGGGTTCCTCATTATTTCAACAAATGAAAATGTTTTACTTAATTGATAGTCTTCGTCATTGCTCTTCATTAATGGCCTTCAGAAAGCTATTCATATGGGAAAAACAAACACCAAAACCTACCAAACAGCGGAAGTCAGCAGTAACACATGCAGGAAAAGAGTTAGGTCAATGAGCGATGATTTCTGTGCGGCAAAAAGCTAATGCTAGTCACATAAACAAAGATTAAAATATAATCCGCAAAAGGAGAAAACTAGGTTTTAAACGACCCACTAAACTATTCACAGCAACTTTGAG